CACACACACACACACACACACACACACACACACACACACACACACACACACACACACACAGAGCAGACATCGTTTAAAAAATTTTAAATATTACTATATAAATGCATTATGCACAGATATATTTGTATGGTAAGAGAAATTAAATAATTATCTATTAGATTGAATATATGCGTGATATATGTAGAAAATTGTTTTGGAAAAATAATTTAATAAGTATAAGTATGATTTTGTAAAAATGTCCAATTAATTTTATTAATTACTCAGTAAAGTTATATGAAACAATGAAAGTGTCTTAACATGATGAGAGTATATTTGGTATAGAAAACACATAACGCGTGTAAGTAGTGATATGCACATTTCGATCGAACTGGAAAAGCGTAAAATATGCGTTATAATTTACATTTAAATTATCGGCTTTCATATTAAAATTCAAATGCAAATTCTAAATTTAATGGCGGGATAGCATACGCGATAAACATATTATAAATGATCATGTTCTATTTTACAACGTATAGATTAATAAATGCACTTACATCGTGTTTGCTGTAGAATACATGTTTCGTTCTTATTGACGAATATTTTCATAACAAATAATTTACTGATATATATTCAAATAGAATTATTTATTTTAATGTGGAACATTTACAAGAAAATTTTCATAAATAATCTTTTCTCCATATATTATGTTAAGAAAATATACAATATTTTGTAATCAGACAACTTTTCCGAGTCGAAATTTTAATACTACTTCGACATTCTTAAGAATAGCTCGCACTTATTAAAATACTTTGTAAACTACGAAAAACCTATTTTGTTAATATTATACTTATTAACTTCTTTTCTAAACCTCTATAGATTTATTTTAATGCAACATTGAAGCTACAAATGTTCCTCGAATTTCACTGATGCTTTGACACTTAAATCTCTGTAGCTAATAAAAACCTACTTTGATGATATTATCCTTATTAAGTCCTCTTTGAAACCTTTCATTCTGCAGATTTAATTTTAATACTTTGAAGCTATTTATTTAACTTTTTAGGAAAAAGTATATTGGGAAATATACGCATCTGACATATACAAATAGTTTAAAAAAAGAAAGTTCTACAAAACTTATGATGTTTACGTCGGCTACACGCCGAGCTTATAATAAATTTTCATAAAATTGTAAAAAATAGCGGACAATGTTAGAAATTGATCTCAAGACCAATCATCATTTGGTGACAAACTAATAAATTTTTTTTATTATATTTCTTTTATAAATACAATATA